TGCTTTTGGTGAGCCATGGGGGCTTTTGTGCCCTCCTGCTCCCTTTGATCTGTGTTGGGATTACCTCCCTTTGGGCTTGGAGGATCATCTCCTTAAGAAGTGACCACTCTTCTTGGAAACCTGGCTCCCCTCCCCTTGCCTCTGGGACCTCAGTGCATCCCCAAGTATTCTCCTTAGTTCATTGAAGTCTCCTCTCCTGAAATCTAGGGCTGCTGCCTTGCTGCAGGCCTTTGCCACCTTGCGCTGGATAGTGAATCCCAGCAGGTGATGATCACTGTTGCCCAGGTGGTTGAGCACCTGCAGCCCCCTCACCAGGTGGTCACCCGTGGCCAGCACCAGGTCCAACAAGGCGTCTTCCCTGGTGGGGCTGTGCACCTCCTGGGTTAGATGGAGGTCCTGCATTACAGCAGTAAAATTATGGCTAATACTAACCTTCTATTCCATGCATGAATAAAAGTAATAAATGATAAGTCTGCAGAAAGGCTGCTGGTGTAGTAAGGAAAGCAGTGAAGAGGAAGGCTCATTAAGGTTAACTTGCCTAGACTCATAAGCTCTTCAAGGCAGAAATGGCTTCTCTGTTATGCCCCTACAAGGCCTAGTGCAATGGGCCTGGAGCCCTCTCACTGCCACCATTTTAGTACAAATAATAATTTCCACAAGGTCCAGGTCTTATACACAATAAGCTGTTAACTGCAGCTTTCTGGAGACATGTCCATTCAAACCAATGCACGTAGGGGCCCCCGGCATTAAACACTAAGCCTGTAGACTTTGCTTGTATACAAGTGCTTTCTCTAAAGATGCTGAATCCCAAATACTGATGTAAACAACCACTCCTGTATTCAGCAATGAAAAGTAACCTGTGTAGATCTGAGATGAAATCTGATCTTTTATAGATAAGCTGCCACCAATAATGAATAATACCTGTGAGAAAGCCAGCTTTCCTTGCCCAGTGCCACTCGATTACACTACCCCATCATTTCAGTTCTTTCATTTGGTTTCAACTTTAACCTTGCAATTTTCTCATCTATGTAATACTAATTTAATGAGCAGGTCACCTTTAGTGATTAAGCTGTTTTACCTGAATTTCTAGCCTTGCTAAGCCCCGTCACCTTGATTGTCTGAACTGCCCTCTTACTGGGTGGCAAAGCTGCCAACAGCTGTTCAAGCCTCACGGTTCTGGTTAAATGCAGCAAAGTCCAGTACTACTTGTGCTTCCAGTACATTGCACGACTGAAAGTGGCCCAATTGTCAAAGGACAAAATTCAGTGAAATATGAGTACATGGTATCATTCACTTACCTCTATCTTCACAATTACAGGTAGTAACCAATATTGAATATATCAGCACACAGAGTAAGGCAAGTTTACCCTTGTTAACTAGCATGGGTACTTATCAGTGCTAGAAGGATCAGGATGTCTTGTGGGAGGACAATTATCTTTAATATTACACAGTCCTAGCAGTATTGCTGCAACTCTGGATGAACAGTTGCTCTCTTCAGTTTTTAGACCTTAGTATTCACAGCATTACTGGTGTATTAACTGCCCAGCAGAAAAGTCCAATTTCTCTAGGTCAGCTCATATCTCCACTGGGCCTTGCTACTACACCTTTCTCTGATCATCCTATGTGGGACTTTGGATGATGCTCTTCACTGGTGGTCTGATTCAAAGCCTCATTTTCACCCACTTACACGGTCACTTTAATTCGTTGCTCAGCTTAATTCAACTGTCATACAGAAACCCTATACAAAGGTAGGGGCCTGATTTTGATCTGGCTTGCACCCCTAAGCCCAATTTAGAATAACCCTGCGGAAACCCATGACTGAAATCACAGGCCAGCCCTCATATTTGATATTTTATGTCAAGAAAATAAAATTGGCAAGAAAGTTTGGGTTGATTATTTATCCTGGCCACATTCCACACAGGCAAAGAATGGAGGTAGGAGAGGGCAAGGGAAGGAGATGGATATGTTTTACATCATATTTGCACTGTCTAACACTGCTCTAATTGCTAGTCAGCTGTGTATACTCTAAAAAAACACTACATAAAATGTTAATGGGCTTGGTTAGTTAACATATTTCTCAAATTGATCAATTACGTTGGATTATGAGGACCTCAAAGTATCAGTAAACTAAGATGATGCTATCAGTCAGACACATTCCTTTAGTCTGCTCATTTGGATAGTTTTTTCTAACACTTCCACCTGTAAAGTTCATGTGACCAGCTATCCTGGGTTTAGAGTTTCTTGCCTACTGAAAACCAGTTCTAGTCGTATAGATGTAAAACGACACGGTGCTTGATTTCCCAATTGGACCTTTTGTTCACGTTTGGTTTTCAGCCAGATAGATCATAGTAGGTGCAAGCTTCCCCTATTCATTTTAATTGCATGTTCATTTGAAAGAAGAATCCTGACTGCTCATAGAATAGTATTCTCCACCAAGACTTGGTATGGACTGTGGGGGGCTTTCTCTTCCTCTGTAGCAGGGGGCATGGCCCTCTGCCTGGGATCTCTTGAGCATATATTGACAACCTTTTACACAAGTAGCACATTGGCTGCCATGGTCCCCCTGCTTTACCTGTGGCAGATTGGGATGTTATGTCTTGTGTTGTGTCAGAGTTAACGGTAGTTTTACTAAGAGGTTAGATTATGGATTTGTATAGGATGGATGGATAAGGATGATCCTTTCTCAGGCAGGGGGTTAGACTAGATGACCTATGGAGGTCCCTTCTACCCCTATTCTCTATGATTATATGATTCTAAGACCACTGAGAAAAATGCTGAGTTCAAGACACTGGTACTTTTTTTTAAAAAAAATATGACATTAGCATACAATTAGACTGTGTACTATTTAGAACAAGGGTCTTGTCCTGACTGTAATTTTAAAGTTCCATTGAAATTGCGTTGTTCTTTAGGTAGAAAAAGCTATATATGTAGTTTCTGATTTAAAAAAAAAACAACACCAATATTATATAAAATGTGCTACTCAAAATAGTCATTGGGGTAATTATTTTTTAAATCAGAAACTTTTAGAAAAGTACTGACAATGTTATTTGGAAAACAGTTGAACAAAGATCTAGTTGCTATTAATTGTAATACTTTTTGACTTGGTGCCAAAAAATTGTCCAATCTCTCTCCAAACAATACAGTCATTCCACTAAAATATATTACCAAGAAAAAACCTTTTCTTCTCACATATTCCTTGGACCATCATGACTGCAATGTCACTCTAAACCAATTGACTTAATAAAGCTAGTCAGCAAAATACAAAGAGAAATTAAAAACAAAGTCAAGCAATATGCACCATAGAATACATTCTCTATAGATCACAGATCATACACTAAAATCTAGCTTTTAGTAGTATTACACAGATAATCTAGGTCACATTTGTAATTATCAAATTTGCAAAGAGGCAAAAAAAATCACTCTCCTACAGAAAGTTACCTTTGGCATATTGCACAAATACCGAAGCACCTCTCCAATGTACTGTATAACCGTTACGTTGTATTTCCTGCAGTCATCCCAGAAGTGAGTTGCTGAAAATTTGGAGCGCAAAACTAAGGTTGCACCTACACAAAAAGAAGAAAAGGTAAAAGACTTGGGGCACCATAATTCTACTGTGAAGAAAATGTGTACCATTTCCTTAGTAGCAAGAGAGTAGGAACCTTGCAGGGTGACACACTATACAGCTTCATCTTTAAAAAAAAAAAAAAAAAAAAAAGTGACAGTTCTCGTAAGTATGTTCATATACAATCCATGTCAAGCAATTCGCTTTGTATTCTAATACTGTCTAACAAAAAGCCAGGGGTTTTTCAGACTATATTAAATTTGTGGCACTGCATCTCTTTAGCCCTGTGGGTGTGCTACACAAAGGAAGCAGACATATGCCACTTGGTTCTGAGAATGGAGTAGCAGTGCCACTGGCACCATGAAAGCCAAAGAGTAGCAGTCAGCAATGGGTCCATGGCTTTCATGATTATGGCCATCCAGTGCCCCAAGTTTCCATGCAAATGATACTCAGGGACTGCAACCACCATATTAGCTCACCAGCTGGTGCATCAGCTGAGAGGCTGAACTGGAGCCCCAGTGCCAGCTCTGCCTATACTTTTTGCTCTCCCATCCTATGTGCACAGTAACTCTTTGAAACTGTCAAGTGCATTCTACCTTGCATGATACATCCGTGGAGTCCAAGCAGGAGGGCAGCACTGTGATACAGTGGCAGGGTAGTATATATTATATCTTCAGAAGTAATTTTACTTGCGGTGGCTAAACCACAAGCTATCATTATGCGTTCATGGGTAATCATGGCAGCCTTTGGAAGACCTGTGAAAAGACAAGAGAAAAGATACAATTACTAACCATATGAAAAAGTGCAACAAACAAGATTGTGCTCAAGGTGGGGTCAGAAGCAAGGATTTCCTTTCTCTCCAAGTCACCATGGGCTGCATTAGGGTTAGGCACTTTACAACTCTAGCCTGCTGGATGAAGCAGGTATAAAGCTGGGGTGATTTAGCTCACTTGTAGTGCTACAGGCTTGTGCACACCTAACAACTATATGGTCAAGAGCAGCGTCTCCCCCTCTAAGCATGTTTTTCCATGACGTCAGGGTGCTCTCCATTGAACAGAGTTACCTTCTACCACACAGTTTGAACACAAACCTTGTGTAATAGATGGGGATGCACAACATTCCTCAGGGACTGGGATTTATCATAGAATCATAGAAAATGAGGGTTGGAAGGGACCTCAGGAGGTCATCTTGTCCAACCTCCTGCTCAAAGCAGGACCAGCCCCAACTAAATTGTCCCAGCCAAAGCTTTGTCTAGCCAGGTCTTAAAAACCTCCCAAGAAGGAGATTCCACCACCTCTCTGGGTAACCCGTTCCAGTGTTTTACTACCCTCCTAGTGAGCAAATTCTTCCTAATATCTAACCTAAACTTCCCTTGCTGCGACTTGAGCCCACCGCTCCTTGTTCTGTCATCTGCCACCACAGAGAAGAGTCCAGCTCTGTCCTATTTTGAACCCCCCTTCAGGTAGTTGAACGCTATTAGATCTCCTCTCAGTCTTCTCTTCTCTAGACTAAATAAGCCAAATTCCCTCAGCCTCTCCTCATAAGTCATGTCCTCCAGCTCCCTCACTATGTCTGTTGCCCTCTGCTGGACTCTCTCCAGTTTGTCCACATCCTTTCTGTAGTGGGGGGCCCAAAACTGAACACAATAATCCAGATGTGGCCTGACCAGTACTGAATAGAGAGGAATAATCACTTCCCTGGACCTACTGGCAACACACCTACCAATTCAGCCCAGTATGCCGTTAGCCTTCTTGGCAACAAGGTCACACTATTGACTCATATTCAGTCCCTCATCCACTGGAGCCCCCAGGTCCTTTTCTGCAGAGCTGCTGCCCAGACAGTCAGTCCCTAGCCTGTACTGTTGCATGGGATTATTCTGTCCCAAGTGCAGGACTTTGCACTTGCCCTTGTTGAACATCATGACATTCCTTTTGGCCCAATCCTCCAATTTGTCTAGGTCACTCTGAATCCTAGCCCTACCCTCCAGAGTATCTACTGCTCCCCCCAGCTTGGTGTCATCTGCCAATTTGCTGAGGGTGCACTCTATGCCATCTTCCATGTCATCGATGAAGACGTTGAACAAAACCAGGCCCAGGACCGACCCCTGGGGCACTCCACTTGATACTTGCTGCCAACTAGACATCAAACCATTGATTAGTACCCTCTGAGCCCAATGCTCCAGCCAGTTTTCTATCCTCCTTACAGTCCATTCATCCAGCCCATACTTCTTTAGCTTGCCTGTGAAAATGTTGTGGGAGATTTTAGCAAAAACCTTGCTAAAATCAAAGTATACCATATCCACTGGTCTCCCTGCATCCACAGAGCCAGTCACCTCGTCATAGAAGGCAATCAGGTTGGTCAGGCATGACTTGCCCTTGGTGAATCCATGCTTTTTCCAGGGACTGAGGTGAGGCTGACTGGTCTGTAGTTCCCTGAATCCTCCTTTTTCCCTTTTTTAAATATGGACACTACGTTTGCCCACTACCATTTATGCTCCACTACCATTTTGTCTAGAAATCCTTACTCCGAGGACCATTTCCAATGAGACCGCTACCCTGCCTAGTGACTGGTGGGATCTGAGCTCCTAACATATTCAACATTCAGAGCACACCTTGACTTCCTCTTGAAACAAGTGGAAGTTACTGATGCTCTGTATCACTGAGGATCAAATCTTCAATGTTTTTTTAAGGGCCCAAACTTGGTTCCATTTTAATTCAAGCACAAAACTCTAATCAAAAGGCTAAAAATGAATGCCGCATTAAATAATATAACGGAAGGAATATTTGTCTAACAAGCATGTCTACTAAAAAAAGACAACTCAAAGCCAAATAGCTCTATACACTGACATATAATTGCAAAATGTTTACTTTCAAATGTGCTCACAATAGTTAATAGGCATCATCACTTTGAAACCTCAGCAATTTTAAAAAGTGCAAATTTACAGTAGTGCCTGGCACTGCATCTGTTTGACTTTCTTGGACAATCTGGGAGATTTTATAGCCATATTTGCCTGTGCTCCAAAGGGTTCTCTCTCCTCTGCGGGTGTGCTAGAATCTTGCCTTAAACAAGGGAGCCTTGACTGTATGTAAAAGTACTTTTAAAAGCACAAAGTTAAAGAAGAAATATTTTATTTTCTTTAATCTCTTTCAGGTACAAAAAACTTAAGTATTGCCTGTAACATTGGTAGGTATTTTCAGACAAAATCAGATTTTTTTAAAAAATTACAGTGCTCCTGGTTACAAATTCAAGTTTACAAAGGAAAAATAAACTTCAATTAATATGACATTTTAATGCATCCATTTCCCTAGTTTTTGTCATATTTACATTACCTGTAGTGCCAGAGGTATAAATATACAAGGCAGCACTTTTAAAAGTGACGTTTGATCTCCATGACTGTGGGGTAGGCTCATCTGAAACACTTTCCATTTTATCGAGAAAGCTGTCAACCCCATCCGTATCAGATGTCCTGCTTAGGTAGAAGACTCTAACATTTTGTTCCTTCAGACTTGGTAATATTTCTTCAATAGCTGATTTCAGTTCTTAAAGAACAAAAGAATAAATAATTTAATTCAGGTTAATTTCACCATGGTTTGTCTTGTGCTAGATTCTGTGCTAATGGCACTTAGGGTGACCCATACCTGTCAGTTCAGAACATGGTAAAAGGACCGAGGAGAAACAGTTTGTGCCTCAACCTTCACTACTAGGAAGGACAAAGCCGGAATCAGGGAAAAAGAAATGCTCCAGACATATTTCTTCCTGTTTTTGGGCCTGATCCTTGTGGGGAACACACAGGTGATCTAGCCACCTCTGTGCCTCCTATGTAGGGCTCCTGTACTGAGGGTTTTAAAGCCTCTTTCCAGCCAATGCAAAATTGCCACAAAAAGTACTGAACTGACCTCCTAATACAAAATGAAGAGTGCCTGCCCATGGTTTTATACTACGTAAATCCCCCATGCCCTCCGCCCAAAGAAGACTTCCATTCTTAGCAAGCCTCAAAGCAAGGGGGAGAAAAAGTGAACATTACAATAAAAAGGGGGCAAAGCAGAAAACAACTCATGGCTTATTTTGATGTACAGTAGGTTAGTGTCTCTCTTTTGCTGTGTTGGACAAACAGTGTGATCTAGTTTAGATGGGATAGCTACCAGCAAATTGGCTGCTTTCCTAAATAAAACTCAAAGCCATGATTTAAATACCAGACAGCTGTATGAATGGAAACAAAAGGAAGAGTCTACATTTTCGTAACATCATGCAGAAATCTTACAGGTATACTCCAAAGCACATAAAAAGCCTTTTAAAACTGGGACATGACAACTGCCCTGTGAACAAACATATTCAAATGTTTTAATAGGGACCCCCATCAACATCTCCACTCAAACAGCCACTGTTGCAGACCGGCTTGCCTGAATGAAGTGAACATCCAGAACCAAATCCTGCTTGATTTACTCATACAAATATTCCCAACTCATGTCAGTCAAAGGAAGTTTTGCCTAACAGACAAATCTGACCCCAAGCACATACTATCAAAACTGGTGGCACGTGGAGAAACAGTAGCCAGGTTTTTAGTTGGTGTGAACTGGAACAGCTCCATTGACTTCAATGGATATTTTGAACTCTGCCCTTATCATTGCTGAAGATGAAGACAGCACCATAATCAGGAAGGTAAAAGCAATGTTGCCTTTTATAGTCACATTAATTAATCCTGCTGAGAATATGCCCCTACCTCTCTACATGTTCAACAGTGGGAAAGATGGTATATATTTTTTTCTTGATACATTTGAAATATATGTTTGAACAAAGTCTTGACAGCCTGACTGGTGTCTAATGATAATAACATACTGCTCAGTTCTCTAATGTCCTGGATGCTGCAAATGTTCATGTGCATCTTTGATCTTAGACATGTCTGGAATCCCTTTGTATAACCGAAATACATACGCAAGAATTTGCAAGACTGGACCCAGAATAAGTTACATGTTCTACATGCAAAAGGGGGTGTTTTCTACAATTGTTGACCTGCCCCAGTCAGCCAAAGATATATTTGATAATTAACTGGTGAGTCCTCAGGGTGGATTAAAAAAAAATGGATTTTTTAAATTTAAATCAGATTTTAAAAAATGTAATCATATTTTTAAGATTAAAAAGAAAAAAGATATAAAGATAATTTTAATTTAAGATATGGTAAAACTCAAAGATACCATCATAGAATAGGGATTGTAACTTCTAATTATATACTACTTGAGACAATATTGCTGGGTAAATTGTATAAGAAAGAAATTGAACGGTTCCCAGGGGGGAAAAATTGTTAACCTGAGTCTTGATGGGTGGAGCAATGGCCACAATGATCCAGTAATAGGTGCTTGTGTGACAACAGATGGGATTGTCTACCTTACAGAAACAACTGATACATCAAGAAATGCGCACAGAGCAGAATACTTACAAGAAGTAGCAGTAAAAGCTATAACAAACTGAAAAAAATCAAATGTCTAGTATGCAGCTTTGTCACAGACAATGCTGCAAATGTATCAAAGATAAGAAGAAATCTAGAAGAAAGTGAAGAAAACCCCAAGCTATTAACATATGGCTGCAACGCTCATTTGATGCAGCTCTTAGCCAAAGACTTCAGTGCTCCAGATATAAAGACTAATGTTGCTGAAATTGCAAAATACTCCTGTAACAACCACTTTGCAGCAGCTGCTCTGAAGAAAGCAGAATGAACCAAACTAACTGTCCCACAAGATGTGATGGAACTCAGCCATGGACTGTTTTGAGCGATATATTGAGAGCAAGCCTAATCTGATGACAATTTGTGAACAAAATCATGACAAAATAGATGGAACTGTCATAGCCAAAGTTCTCAATGTTAGGTTAAAGAGAATTGTATGCTGACTATCCTGAAGCCTATTTCCGTAGCCTTGAACAAAGTGCAGGGAAATCACTGTTTTATTGCTGATGCTGTTGAAATTTGGAAGGAACTGTGTGAGACCTTTGAAAAAAACAACGCAATGACAGAGTTAAATTACAGGCATTAACAAAATGAATGGATCAAGTACTAATTCCAGCTCATTTTCTTGCCAATATTCTCAATACTTGGTACTAGGGTCAATCCATAACTGCTGAGGAAGAGGAGTTGGCTATGACATGGGCATCCAGCAATTATCTCTCCATAATACCAATTACAATCAATTTCAGGGCTAAGAAATATGTTTGCTGATGAGGTTTTAAAGAAAGTCACCCCAGTGAACTGGTGGAAGTCACTTAAGCACCTGGATCCATCAAAGACTATTGAAGTGATAATCCAGCTTTTAACAGCAGCAGCTTCTTCTGCAAGTGTAGAAATAATATCTTCTTCCTTTGGACTATTTCATTCTAAATTGAGAAATTGCTTGGGAACTGAAAAAGCAGGAAAGCTTGTCTTTCTTCTCCAGTTTATGAATAAAAAGGAAGAGGATGGTGATGACT